TGTAAAAGATTCCTGGTAAATAGCAAGACTGTGTAGTAATGCCAAGGTGCTGTGTCTCCTTTTAGATTCCCAAGGAGATGAGTTTGTCTTTCTATGCAAGTGTCCTGATAAACTTTCATTCCTTACACTTTAAGCTATTTTCTGGTGTGGGTCAGTTAATACTGATAGGCACACCCACACTGTAGACTTCAGGAGTTCAGGGAAGGAATGGCTAATTTGTTGACTCACATGAAAAAAGGGCCAATCATGTCATTTCTCTAAGACCCAATTTTGTTAAAGAATATTAATATTTCTACCCAGACTGAAAGGTAAAAAATAATAACATTAATAACTACATTAATACTTACCTCAAATGAGGAATTCTAGTACTAATACTTAATTCTCATTACTCTGTATTTCAGCATGAATATGCATCCAATATAAAGACATGTTTTAAATAAAGTCTTTCAGTCTTCAGGCTAACATTCAAAACTGCCTACAATATGACCAAAACTACTATCTTAACTTTGAATTCATCTATCAAACATGTGATAATGCGCAATTTAAAATATTTTTCCATAATATTTAGAATAAAGCTTTTGTTTCTAATATAAGAAAAAGATGATACGGCTGGATAGAAACTTTTTCTGGTTATTTAACTTAATGGGTATCTTTGTGGATCCACTTACCTGACCATTCTCAGCACTTGGGTTTGAAACTGGATTATATTCATGATCATGCATGACAATTGATGCTAAAGTGATACTTAGCTCAGGTGTGGTAGCTGAGTTAATTTTCCTCCATGCTTTTGGCATACTACCATAGCCAGTATAATTAAGGGAGGGAAAGAGAGCAGCGATGGCATGAGAAATCATGATGCCTTTTTGCTCTTGTATTCATGGGAAACATATTTTATCTATTCTGTCTGGATGGGAAAAAAATCAATTAACCATCTCTGAAATTGACATCTAAGAGCTCAGATTGCTTATTAGCAATCTTATTAGCAAAACAATTGAGTTCAGAAATTGAAACTATTAAAACTAAATGCAGACAGAAAAATTTAGTTTTAATAAAATTAATATTAATGTATCAACTCCAATATTATGTGAAAAAACCTTTAAATCATTTGCTTACAGGATCTAATATGTCTTCCTTCCCTCCCTCATTCCATTTCTCTCTCTTTTTCTGCTTGGAGAAATAAAAAAATTTTCTATTACTTGAAGATTCCAAAATCGTCTCCCGTTATTGTCAAGAAATATATGTTTTAGTATATGTGCCCTTCCTATCAAAAGTATAAATATTTCTGAACATGCATTGTATAGAAGCTAAAAGTGAACTAAGGGAAGGAATGGTGAAGCAAGTCTATAGTTCTAGCACTTATGAAGAGAGGCATAAGGACCAGCAATTCCAGAACAGCTTAACAGCTTAGACAGCAAAGGGAGACTGTATCTCAAGAAAAGAATACAGAGTAAGCAGGTGAGTCAACAGAAACTAAGACCATGGTTCAATTTATGCACCAAAAGAGGAGCTGTGAAAAGCATCCAAATAGTTTAGGACAGAAATTTGATTTGAACCATAGAGGAGATAAAATTTAAAGTAAAATATTTAAACGCTGAAAAGTGAGACAAAGGAAAATCAAACCTGCTCTCAGAGCTTTCTATTTTCGTAACTGACATTTCAAGCTAAACAATCCGACACATTCTGTTTCTGTGGAGCAGCACTTAACAGTTTCAATGATGACATCCAATCTATTACTATTGAAAAAAATGTTTTCCATTAACTTTTAAGTGTAGGTTTACTTTTAGATTTGGCATTGGATTCCTGAAACCATTTGGGCAATTGTTTCCATCTATTACTGGTTTCAACAAAATGCTGCCTTAACAAAAATAATCCATATGGCTATCCAATCAAGAAAACAAAGGATCTGCAGTTGCCTCTGTCCCCACCAGCTTGGTAATGAGATAACCTCAACCAGCTCTTGCATTGCTCCTCTGTTTTCAAAGAAGTTCTTCATTTCTTTGATCTCTATTTCAGTTATAAATATTTCTTTATTGCCAGTCTTTCATTAGAATAAATCTTTACTCCAACCATTCATGAACATGACACATCACCACTGAAGTGGTGCTTCAATGCACCACTTCTTAGTGCTTCAGTTTTATTAATCTGATGTTTACCTAGCTTTGGGATATCTGTATCACTGTTGCTGGTAGGTGTTGCTATACGGTCCACTTTCTTTCTCTAAGTCTTATTTAATATCCATGTACATCTATAACTTCCATTTCAAAAAGACTGAAATTAAGAAGAACTAGTAAAAATAGAAAATGTTATACTTGTCTTACAGAGTTCCTTTACATGGTTGACTGTGCAAACAGAGCTGCAGTGCAGATACCATGACATATAAAAGATATAGTTGAGTTGTTAGTTTGAAGATCCTTCTTCATAGATTTCACTTGAATTCTCTTGGATTCACTCGATACTTTAACCTCAATCTATGATTACAGTGATGGATTTTAAAATTCTTTCACATCTTTAGAAACCGTATCTTTAAAATATGTTGAATCCTATGTCTGCCTATAGAAATGACATACTCATTAATACATGTATACAAATCTAACAAAGATAAACAAATTTGTTTGTAGATGTATGCATATATTTGTGTGTTTTTTCTATAGGCATATCTGATATCCATGTAGAATCATATTTGCATTTTCAGGTATGATAATAATCATATTCATGTAATTAATAAATAATTCTATAAGATTATATATTATATATGTATATTTGCATACATGCATGTATATGTCTAGAAAGAGCAGGAGAGGGATGAGTGATAGTGGCTAATTCATGGCCAAGGACATCTACATGTCATGTTTTATAACAGTCATTTGTTCTAAGTGCTATTTGCATTTTCATTCCAAACTTTGGGAGACAATCCTCATTGAAGAACTAAATTTGATTCTTCTTTCTTTAGATTTCTTGGCAATATAAAACAGAGGAATGGATGAAAAGACTCATACAGATGAATTTTGAGCTGCAACCAAGACTTGTGAACATCTGTTTTGTCAGGCAGTCTGCATTAGGTGAAGGTGGAATAGGGGGAAGACACAAAGGAAACTGTTGTCTCTGTTTTCAATTATTCTTTGGTGAATCTGTGAAAGTTCACATAAAATTTCTGAGAGAACATAACAGAATTTTAGAATACAGAGACTGAAGATTTATTGTGACTCAATTCACTAATTAGTGATCATGCAAACCTTTATCAATCTTCATAAATTTACTTAATATTATTTTTGGCTAACTGTGAACTCAACTTAGTTTGTCTACCCAGTGAAGTTAGAATGAGAACCTAAAAATAAAATAAAACACAGAAAGATCTACTGGCTGTCGACAGAGTGGGTTCTAGAATTTCTGTTTCACACTTTATGATGGGGTACATTGTGGGGGTCAGAAACCTATGACCAGGATCTCATATTTCACATGTTAAGTAATTAGAGGGTTTATAGACCTTTGAAACATAAGATATGCATTTGAGTCATAAAATCTTAGAACCTGTTTTTTCCTTTTTTTTTTAACTTGGATAATCCATATTTTGCATCTAGATATAGTTAGTCCAATCATTGGGTCTATGGCCAACATTTGTTTGGATATCAGTTTTACCTAAACAAAGTCAAGAAAAACGAATATGTCAAACCTGGAAAGGTCTACACCTGCCTCTAAAACCCCTATTCCTGCTATTGCTTTGTTCTTCTGAGACATTCTGTCCATCACTGGAGGTAGACATCGAAGATTCATTGAAATGAAAAAAATGTATCATTAAACTAAGGCTTGCAATCATAATACATGAACATGTATATTCTAAAATATACAGCAAACTAGCTCAGACTATATTTTATAATATATCCACTTAAATATAATCATAATCACCATGAACAAAGTCTTTCTTCAAGTGTTTTTATCACCAGGATCTTGTTCCACAGTTGCTTTGGCTTGCTGAATCTTGTAATCTTTGGAAAGAAGATAGACAGAACACACATAGAAAGTAAAGTATCTTACTTTAGATAGTATGTCATTACTTACTTTAGGTAGTATGTCATTAAACCTTTATATACAGTCCAGACTGCCCTATCTCCATCTAGAACCAAAGATATGATTTAGAACTTGGCAACTTTCAGTCCTAGTTTTACAAACTGCTGACTATGAGATATATGTATATTCTTAATGACTTTCAAGGTTGCTAGTACATTACTAGGTACCTAAAGTATTGGTATTGTTTTATTGTGCCTAGTACTCAGAGTATTCAATGGATCCCACATTGATATTTAGTGATACGTAAATCTACATGTGCCAATTACTCAACGTGCCATTCAAAATTTATGATCAACCAAGAATATCTCAATAATACCCCTATATGAAAGAAGTGCAGAATCACTGCTATTTCCCTACAGCCTAGGAAGAGCAGGAAAGGAAGAAAACTGGGAGAAATACTTGAGAAATACACCCTGAGTCCCTCAAAGAAAATTGTATGTTAATGAATAAAGGTACAGAGTAAGAAATAAAATTACAACACTCTGCTCATATCTACACAATGAGTTTTGTTTCAAAACCTACATATAAGTTTTGTAAGACAAGATTATGTTGAGTCATTTTGATCATTTTTTTTTTGAAGTAAGGCACAGACAGAAGCCTGTTTACTTTATTCAAATAAATTCTTCTCTCAGTGAAATTGAGTAGGACTGAAGGATGGAGGAATACCCATATATTAAACTCTTAAATAGATCCTCTGAGTTCAGAGTCCAAGTCAAGGAGAGGAACGGGTCATGGGTCACGGGTCTTGTCCCAGGAAATGAGGCCCCCAAAGGAGCCTGTTCATCAGGGAAGATAGCAAATTCAACCCTTTAAAAAAAGTTCTCAAGGAGAAAAAAAATAGAAAATTCCTAAGTTTCTGAAGCTGAAGTAGTCTCCTCCTCGATGTCCACCCTGAAGCATCCAAAGGCAGAGGTTCCACGTTTGTTTCCACTGAGATGAATGCTCGGTCTCCGCAGACCATGGCATGACTGAGGGGAAGCAATGTGCTCGGGTCTGTCCAACTTCTGTGTGCACACAACATCTGAGCCCTGGACATCATGAACTTCCCAGGTGTAGGGAGGTGCTGTTCTGGTTCACCTGAAAATATCCTTTCAGATTAGCTGGCGTTTTATAGTCTCCTTTCAAGACCCGGTGTGTGTTGTTGATGACAATCGGGCCAGGGTTCCCATAGTTGGGCGGATTTGCATATGGGTCATAGCCAAGCCGAGCCAGCATGGGGGCAATCTGGGCCATATCCCTCACCACATCTCAAGGGATGTGGCCAGTCCACTTGGAGAGTGCTTCCAAGTTCACGGGTTTGATGACCTGGTCCATGGATCGCTCAATCTTGGACAAGGAGACGCCCCCAGGCTTGCCAATGAGGTCCTCATGGTGCAGGACTGTGTCACTCCAGGTGATGCCCAGGAAGTCTAGGATGCGCTTGAGTGAGCACCAGGGGTGCAGCACCAACTGCTCATAGTACACAGGCAGGCACTTGTCCCTGCCCACCTCCATGCACTGTGCGTGCATCACCTCGATGGCCTTGTTCCACTTTGTAAGACAGTCTCGGTAACTGCTGAGGTCAAAGCCTGCAATGGTAACCTTGCGAGTGATCATGGAGTGCACGGAGGCCCGGCCATCGTGCACCATTAGCAGAAATTTGGAGTTGGGAAACAGGCGTGCCAAGTAGACGGAGGACTTGAGTATGAAGGGGTTCTTGTTACACAGCACACGTGCTGGCTCGCCATGCTTAGCAATCACCTCCAGGATGAAGGCCTGCATGGCGGCATCCAGCACCTCATCTGTCACACCTGCTTCGTCCAGTCGTAGCTTCTCCCGGCCAGACTTTGACCAGGCTTGCCACATGGCCAGCTCACGAGGGATGATGCGCGTCTCTTCCCCACAGCGCACCTCAGGATGCGCGTCCAGCATGGCGCGCGTGAGGGTGGTGTCACTGCGAGGTACGCCACCCACAAAGATGAGCCACATGGCCTTGCCATAGCGATACTCCACCTGGTTGGCACCGAGCATCACCAGTTCCTCCTGCTCTGGCCACATCCTCCTTGTGTTCCGCATGCCCCCGAGCACTGCCCGGCACTCTAACACTTGCTGCCCAAGCTGCAGGGCCAGCAGCAGGGCCAGTGCGCAGCCAGCAGTGAGCAAAACCTTACGCACCGACAGGCGCATGCCCAGCCAGGGGCGCAGGCCCAGGCAGGGGGCCGCATCATCGACGGGTCAGCAGGCCCACCTGGTGTGCATCATGCCCAAGTCAGTGCCTGCACAGACTCCGGCTCCCCACTAGCCGCCAGGGAGGCGCCGCGAGGGGCGTGTCCATTTTGATCATTCTTAAGAGCTTTGATTAGGATTGTTGTTTCTTCTATCTTTAATAATGATTTGTTCTTGCTCTTGGGATAACTCTTAGTCAGGAAAATAATAATTTGATCCTATTTCTAACTTGCACTATTCGGAGATTTACATAATTCTCTAGTCCTTATTATATTATTATATTAACAGTTATCATTATTATCTTGCTCCCTCTGATGCCCAATATTTTCAAATGTTCATAAATCATCCTTCCAGTCTTCTGGTGTGAATTGATTACACAGAATTCTCTACTTCATAGCTATCAATGACTGTGGAAACCCTTAGGATATTTGATTAGAAATGATTTTTGTTGTACAATGTGTATTCTGTTTTGATGTGTTACTAAAGTGTGTGTGTGTGTGTGTATGTGTGTTTGCTTATGTTTGTGTGCTCTCTTTCTGTCTGTGTTTTACTGTGATTGAACCCAGGTTCTTTCACATGGTAAGCTAGACCTGTGCCATTGGTCTTATATCTCCACCTTTTGCTTTATGTCAATTTGAGAAAGTCATTTTCGGTCAGTAAAACTGGCCTCAAACTTCAAATTCTCATGTTTGAGCCTCTTAAAACAGCTATGAGTAAAAGATATGATACCATGATTGTTTAATTTTTTCAAGAATTATTAAAATAATTCTTTACATTCAAAAAGCAGGTTAGCTAACTGCAGATCTTCACCTCTCCCTCCTTTCCTCCAAATCCCATCTCCAGTCTCATAGCTCCCTGCTCCCTAGGCAGACCACCTGCTGTGACACATGCCCCTTCACATCTCTATCCCACCCCCTGAACCTCCCACACACCCAACCCTGCCATCTGCAGTGGATCACAAAGATCTTCCCCTAAGACTTGTTTCCTAACTCTCACTGTTTTATCTGAACCCCCAACTCCAGCAGGCATTCTCTGGGAACCCCCAGGCCACTCAAGCCAGGAAAGCCGAAAAGACAACTGCAGGTCTTCACTTCTTTCCTGGTTCCTAGAAATCTAACCCTCAATCCTATGCTGTATCTTATTTCCCCCCTGTTTCCCCATCTCCAGCAGACCACATAGTCATCCTCATTCAACCTACCTTCCACCCACCCTTTTCATTAACCCAGCCTCCAACACCAGCAAGTATTCTGTGAGAACATACTCTCCCAGCATGCCAGCGAAACACGGCAGACTAGCTACAGATTTTCACCTTTCCCTCCTCCCTCCAAACCCAAGGCACATTCCTAGTTCAGTAGAACACTACCCACTTCTTCATTGTGTCCCTCCTTGATCTTATCTCCAGTGGACCACAAAGATAGTCCCTTTCAACCTCCCCTGATCACTTTATCGCTTTACTTCAATCACCAACTCCATCAAGCATCCTCAGGAGACCTGCAGGGCAGTCCAGCCAGGGAAGCAGAGTACGTAACTGCATATCTTCACCTCTTCCTCATTTCCTACAAATCCAGTGCCCCAAGCTCAGCCCATCTCTGTAGTAGATCACCTCCTGTAGCACCCCCATTTCTCCCCACCCCCATATCCAGTCATATCAAGTGGATCCCACAGATCTCTTCTACCTTTCATCCCCTCTCATCCTCATGTCCTAGTTCCCAAATCTAGCAGGCTTTTTCTAGGGACCTGCAACCAGCTCTGCCAGAGAAGCAGGTAGGCTAGCTTTACATCTTCATCCCTCATCCTCTAATCCACATCTGATCCTGGAGTCCCATCACCAGTTCTAGTGATAGTATCTTTTGTGGTCTCTCCTCACCCTCTGCTCCCATTCCCTGTGAACTAAGAAGATCCTGGTGGAACACCCTGCTTTTCTCCCTCCTATACACATCTTCAGCCCCTCCTCCTCCCTCAGCCTAGCCCCTTTCCATTCCAAGAGTCATCTCCGAATACCTAGAATACATATTACCCCAATTCCTCAATCACAACACCTACCAGGATCTTAGAATTTTCTACCAGGCAGCACACAGCCACCCCCATTCTCCTTAGGACCAGAGAGGGCAGTAGAAACAGAGGAAGGGATTCTCTGAATGTGGCTGGCCCGGAGTCTTTCTGAAAAGCCATTGACAATAACACTGGGACTTGTTTCCTCTGCATATACTGAATTTTGGGGATCCAGTCTGTTTGGATACTCACCTTCCTGGACCTGGAGGAAGGGGGGAGGAACTTGAACTTCCCACAGGGCAGGAAACCCTGACTGCCCTTAGGGACGAAGAGGGAGGAGGAGAGGGAGTGGAGGGAGTGGGAGGGTGTTGGGAAGAGGGGCGTAAATGGAAACTTTTATAATTTAATAAAATTACTTTCAAAAAAAAACATTCACTCAAACAAGACAAAACCTGATATCAGCACTTACAATTACAATCTTCCCAAATCTAAATGTCTAAATACCAGAATAAAAACACTGTCAGCAATAGTTAGGACAATATGTCTCTACTAGAGCCGAGAAACCATACCACAGCACTTCCTGAGTATCGCAGCTTGCCTGAAGCACAAGACAAAGACCTTAAAATATCGTTTATGAATATGATAGACATCTCTAAAGAGGAAATAAATAAATCCCTTAAAAACAATGAAAACGCACAATCAATGGAAGGAAATGGATAAAATAATTCAAGACCTGAAATTAGAAAGCGAATCAATGAAGAAAATCCTAATTGAGAGAAATCTAGAAGTGAAAAATTTACAAACTCGAATAAGAACCTCAGAAGTTCCACATGGGTTGGAATGGCTGTCTTCCTCTTAGAAGCTGTGAGGGAAATCTGTTCCCATATTCTGCTTATAGATGTCACTTGCCTTACTGTGTTCATTTTAAAACTAGTTGCATAGTTATTTCATATTCTCCTCCTTATTTTCTGAAATGTAATTCTCTTCTGAAGTGCATCTCTTCTGTTAATCCTAATCTTTTTTCTCTTGCATATTCCCTCTGCTTCTATGGAGACCAACCAGATACTTCAGCATCAGCTCCCTGGACTTCCTGATGACCTTAGCTTAAGCATATACAAACAACCCTTTTCCCAGGAAAAGAACACCCAGGGGTTTCTGCCACTAGATAAGAACACTGCTCGCCCATACTCTCTGCTATGACCACCTAGGTATCTGTGCTCTTTATTTTCACAATATTTTTGCATTAGTTTATTTTAATACGGTTCACCTTCAAATCTTCGACTAATAAGTATTCCAAATCTTGGAGAATAATATGTTGGGTCTGAGCCTGCGGTTTTAGTTTCATGTGGGCCCAGTGTCTTACCTCTACACTTGGCTGAAGGCGGGCAACTGGTGTGCTATATTCTTTTCCTGTTTAGAAAACAATTTCCTGTTGTGTTTGTTTGTTTTCCTAACTCTCTGCTATTCAAAATGAACTGTCATTTTGTCACCTTGTAAGCTGTTTAGTATGAACGACTAACAGACGGTTCATTATAAGTTGATTCATGTACAAAGAGAAGATCTATTTCCACACAATATGTTTATAAAGTTTAACTGTAGTCTCCTTGTACATATGTGCAACATATTAATTTAGGAAACAGTTGTGCCTGAGGATATATTTCAGTTTGTACATTTTTGTAATTTCTATGTATGTAGATAATTCCCTTCTGAAGGTTTATTCTAAAATTTACTCATTTGATTATTATTTAATTTATATGAAAATTAGATACTCACTTCTGTAAGATGTCATGTCTTACATTAAGAAGCGTGCTCCTGGTTTTAAGTAGACAAACTACCACATAGAAGACAATAACTTATACCAGCTTACATCCAAACAACTCTAAGACATCTGTGTCTGTAGCTTCACCTGTCTCTACTCTTAGTTCAAACCCCAAGATCATTCATGCATATGGTAGAGGATGGTTGGTCTCCTTTTGTTTTCTTGCAGTTCTCAAATAACAGTCCTACCCTGGAGAAAGAGTCTTCCAGATGGATTAAATAAGTGTGAGAGTTCTTCATGTGATCTTCCTGGTTGCATCCACTTCTTGTTGCTCATATGCCTGGTATTATAAATCTGTCCTATTGGTTACATGTTTGTTTTGTACACAAAGAGCTTTTGCCCACAAAATACTTGTTTTCATTTTGTTTTCTGTCTATAACTCTCTTTTTCAGAATCCTGGATTAAATAACATTTTGCTACAGGGTATTTTTTTTTCTGACATTTTCTCTCTCTTAGAAGCTTTCAACTGTTGTTTGTGGTTTCCTTGTATGTTTTCAGATATTTTTTATGAAGTGCTGTTTCATAATTCCAGATTTTTTTATTTCATCCCCAGCACAATTTGCCTTAAATAAAAGACAATATTATTTAACAATAAATAACTCAGTATCTAGAAACATAATAAATATATAATGAAAAAACTTTTGGGTCTATCTTATTACTCTCCTGGTCAGTTTTTGACTTTCATCCCACATTTTTGAATTCTACAGATGCAAAGCCATGTGGGAGAGTGACACGGGGAAGATATAAAATCAAAGAGGATGTGCCACAAAGCAGAAAGGAAGTCATTTCCCAACGCTTCGCACACTAGTTATAGCCCTGCAACTGGAGAAAACTCCTATGCAAATTCAGTCATGCAAGCCCCATTTAGCTCAGGAAAATGTGTAGACACTGATTGAGTGAGCAGCTGGTGATATTGCAGTCGGGCTCTCTGGAAGTTAATTGGGAAGCGTGAAAAATCCTGACACTGTACATGTAGCTCTACTGACTTCCACTGTGCCCGAGACACTCATCACACATAGTTGCTTTCTACTATAACAAAAAAGCTGGATGCCCGGGAGTCTGTGATGATGTTCATCAGTAACCAACTAGGAAACCTGAGGAGGAGGAAGTGGCGAGCTTCAACTAGAACTTCAAAAAGTGGATAGCATCTCCTAAAGTAGTAGTTTGTACTCCTGCC